AGAAACCTGTGATTCCTAATCAGTACTCTTCTTTTGACATATCCTAAGAAAAAATGAGTAGGTTTGCAAAATATTTTTTTAATTACAAAAATAAGGCTTTGTGAAAACAAATAAGTTAATCTAATTGTGCTTATTTTTGCTAAAGTTATGAAAGAATGTGAAGTATAATTTATACCTATTTTTAAATAATTTTTCAAATTGTTGTATTCATGGCATTAATTTTCTGTTTCAGAGATCACAGTGGAATATTCCATTATTGATACTAAAGTCTGATGCTTCTTTCTCCCCATTTTATCTTTCTTTCCCTCTTCCTGTTTCTTATTTTCATCATGGCTCTTTTCCTCCTTATGACCTGCCCCCTCCCAGTCTTGCAAAATACTAGCTTCTTACTACAAACTGGTCCTTCCAAATTGGGACTAAAATATTGAACCTTACTGAGTCATCTAGATTTGCCTTTGTGAAATTAGAGGATTATTTTGGAAAGATTCTTTCAAGTTACATTTTAACTTCACAATGTATAATCTGCTTTAATAGAAAAAATATTTTGTTTGGACATTGAAAAAATTATTGAAAAAATTGTAAAACTTTCAGGTCCAATCTTCTGTCCTGGTCAGCTCCCCTGCCTACATTCCCCAGAATTGAAAGGAAACTTACTTTCTGTAGAAATTAAACTGGAGGGTTCTAGATTCAGGAATACCTGGCATAGTAAAGGATAGGGCTTTCATTAAAGGGATTATGTGGAAATTTATATACTGATTGTTGAAATTTAACAGCCTCATTGTTCTGTTTATCTCTAAGAACCCTAAGCCGGGCACTAAATGAAAGTCTACTTACTGCAGCTCCTTTCTTCTGTTGTGTTTCCAGAATACGCATCAACCAAACATGTATTTTCTGATACAAAATTAGATCATAACTCTGTAGATGCTGAATGACCACAAAGAAAGGACTTATTAATAGAGATTTTCTATGTCTACCATGAAAAAGCTGTCTCACTACCAGATCACCATTTGATTAAGTCCACTAATTAAAAAACCCTGCTAATGCTTACAGAGCTTCCAGTAATTTACTCTTAAATATGAACAGATAGCCAGATATCCAGACATTTGAGGAAAGCCTCCAGTCTCTTTTTTTTGAAAAGAGTCTTGAAACCAAGCAACAGAAGACAGGGTTATTAAAGTCATTTAGAGAAATATCCTACAAGATGTTTGCATAATTTTTTAAATCATGAGTCATGTTTTAAGTACACTTCTGGAATTCACTGCTTAAAGTAATTCCTTTCTTAGTGTTGATGAAAATTAACTCTTGTTAATCACCATAGATGGAAAGTATCTTTCTGTGGTTAACCTCTAGAAATAAGTTGGAAGCTTTGTATATAATCTGGTAAAGTGAACAAAACATGAAGTCTTTAAAAACCTGGTACTACTTAATCATAGCCTGGGATTAGGGTGTCAGTCATCTCTCAAATAAAGACAGGGTCTTTCACTAGATCCAGCAAGCATCAGAAAAAGGAGAAATGATACTTCATTCTTGAGAGTGGTCATTATAATGATACTCACCATTATAGCCATCATTAAAGATTTGGTTTAGATCACATATTGTGATAGTGAATATGTTAAGTTTTTCTAGTACACCAACCTGATAGTAAGTTGTATGTATTTCAAGAATAGGTTTAGGGGTGGGTTTTGAAGAGTAGAGTAAAACATCCACAGGTTCTAAGATAAGAAAGGCAATTAAAGTAATTTGAATTTTAGACCAGAGGAGGAATTTTGGGTTACAAAAACACCTTCCTTAGTTAAAGACCTCAGGAGTTTAGATCATGGTAGAAGGACTGTTGGCTCAGTCTTTTGTGAATAAACTTCTTATTTACCTCTAATGTAAATTTTCTTCTGTTACATGCTGTGTTATCTTTTTTTAATTTATATTTCTAGGGTCAAAAGGGGAGACTTTATGATAACAATTTCAATTCATCAGAAATATATAACAATTGTAACATGTAGTTGCATGTAATAACAGAACCCCAAAATACATGGACCAAAACCTGACCAAATTGAAGAGGAAAAAAAAAAAGACAATTCGGTAATAATAGTTTGAGACTTAAATATCTAGCTTTCAGCAATTGATAGAAAAAGTAGGAAGAAGACCAATAAAGAAATAAAATGCTTATAAACAATCAGACCTGGTAGACATGTACAGAATACTCCACTTAACAATAGGAGAATATATGTTCTTCTCAGTAGTACATGTAACATTCTTCAGGAGAGAGCTTATTCTTGGCCATAAAACAAGCTTCAACTAATTTAAAAGGATTAAAATCATACAAAGTATGTTATTTAACCACAAAGGAATAGAATTTGAGATCAATGACAGAAATTTAGAAAATTCATAAGTACATAGAAATTAACACACTCCTGCATAACCAGTGAATTAAAGACAAAAATCACAAGGAAATTAGAAAATACTGTGAGATGAATGAAAGCAAAAATACAAGATACCAAAACAGATGGGCTGCAGCTAAAGCCGTGCTTAGAGGGAAGTTTATAGCTGAAACACCTTTATGATAAAAGAAGAAAGAAGGTCGCCTGGGTGGCTCACATGGTTAAGCATCTACCATGGGTTCAGGTTGTCCCCGGGATCAAGCCCCTCATCGGGCTACCTGCTCAGTGGGGAGTCTGCTTCTCCCTCTCCCTCTGCCCCTCCCCCCACTTATTCTTTCTGTTTCACTCTCTCTTAAATGAATAAATAAAATCTTAAAAAAAAAAGAGACTCAAAAAACAACACAAACTATAAATTGGTGCTTTGAAAAGATACCAAATTAACAGAATTAAAGATATCAAAATTAAATTTTGATGAATTAATAAAAAAACACAAACTATAACTTTGTTCTTTAAAAAGATACCAAATTTTTTTTTTAAAAATTTTATTTATTTACTTGAGAGAGAACATGAGTAGGGGTGGGGGGAGCAGAGGGAGAAGCAGACTCCCCACTGAGCAGGGAGCCCAATGTGGGGCTCCATCCCAGAATCATGACCAGAGCCGAAGGCAGACGCTTAACCCACTGAGCTGCCCATGCACCCCAAAAAGATATTAAAATTATTAGCTAAACTGATCAAAATAAAAAAAGAAGATTCAAATTACTAAAATCAGAAATGAAAGGAAGGTTATTACTACTGACCTTTTAGAAATAGGATTAAAGGGGAAGGCAATAAATAAATGTATGCCGACAAATTTGATAACTTAGATGAAATGGACAGAAGTCTTAGAAAGGCACAAATGACTGAACTTTACTCAAGTAGACATAGAAAATGCAAATAGACCAATAATAAATAAAGAGATATAATTAGCAATAAACTTCCCACAAAGAAAAGCCCAGGCTCAGATGGCCTCACTGCTGAATTTTCTAAACATTTAAAGAAGAATTAATGCTATTTCTTCACAAATTCTTCCAAACTTTAGGAGGAATACTTCTTAAATTGTTTGTTGAGGCCAGTTTTACCTTGATACCAAAACAAGACAAAGATATTGCAAAACTATAGACCAATATCTCTTATGAATATAGATACAAATACTCAATAAAGTACTGGCAAACCAAATCCAGCAACATCTAAAAAGGATTATATACCATTACCAGAAGGGATTTATCCCAGAATGCATGGGATGCATTAGCTTAACATGGGAAAATCAGTTGATACAATAATCATATCAGTAGAATAAAAGCCAAAACTGGTGGTCATCTCAGTATATGTTGAAAAAACATTTGACAAAATCTAATACTCTTTCATGATAAAAACACTCAAAAAACTAGGAATGACTACCCAGAGTATCTGTGAAAAACCCGCAATGAACATCACATTTAATGGTGAAAGACTGAATGCTTTTCCCCTGATATCAGGAACATGTCCATTCTTGACACTTCTGTTTAGCACTGCATTAAAGATTCTAGCTAGGACAACTGGACAAGAAAAATAAATAAAAGGCATCCCAATTCAGAAGGAAGAATTAAGACTATTTCTATTTAAAGATGACATTATCTTGTATAGAAAAAAAGCATAAGAAATCCACTAAAAAAACTATTAGAACTTACATGAGTTCAGCAAGATTGCAGGGAATAAGATCAATATATAAAAAATCAATTGTGGGGTGCTTGGCTGGCTCATTTAGTGGAGTATGTGACTCTTGATCTTGGAGTCATGAATTCAAGCCCACATTGGATATGGAGCTTACTTAAAAAAAAATTGTATTTATACACTAGCAATGAACAATGTGAAGATTAAGGTAATGGTTTCATTTATAGTAGTATCTTTATGGCAGTTTATAAAAAGAATTAAATGCTTGGGAATAAACTTAACAAAAGAAGCAAAAACCTTATACTCTGAAGACTGTAAATTGGTGGGTAGGTGTAGGACTCAGAAGTGACTGCTAATGTGTATGGGATTTTTCAGGGTGGTTTGTGAAAATGTCCTGAACTTGATTGTTGTGATGCTTGTACAAACCTATGAATATACTAAAAACTGTTTCATTGTACATGTTGAGTCCATTTTGTGGTATGTGAATTATATCTCAATAAAACTGTTATTAAAAAAATAGACTAGCTGACTTAATATGCTTAGATTTTTTGGCCTTTAGTTTAGATTAAAGCAATCTAAAATGAAAAATTCCCTACCTAAACCCTCATTTTTTATGATTAAATTGTATTAAATGTTGAAGACGGCCACGTATGTGGATTTTTTGTGTCTTTTTTTTTTTTCTCCTTTGTGGCATCTTTATTTTTCTATGTGGTACATGAACAAAGTGAACATGGTCAGAAAAATCAGCTGCACCGAAACACTTCAGCCGGTTGTAAAACAGAGGGCACGTGGACGTGGAAGGGCGGGGTGGCAATTCCAGACTAGCTTCCCCCAAAGGGCTTATGCTCCAAGCCCGCAACCAGAGGCTGCTCTGGGCAGGACTGTGCAGTGCATCTCTGGGGAGGAGCGACAAGAAGGACCAGTCACAACAGGGACTGCAGCCGGGCATGAGTTTATTGGCTTCTGGCCTCACGCTCCTGCTTGATGAAGTTGATGAGCCCATTGGTGGAAGAGTCGTGAGAGGTCACTGGGCTACTGCCGTCAAGCTCAGGCTCGATTTTCTTGGCCAGCTGCTTTCCCAGCTCCACCCCCCACTGGTCAAAGTTGTTGATGTCCCAGATGATACCCTGAATGAAGATCTTATGCTCGTACATGGCAATCAAGGCTCCCAGAATGAATGGCGTGAGCTTGGTGAACACAATAGAGTTGGTTGGCCGATTTCCTTCAAAGACCTTGTGTGGCAACAGCTTCTCCAAGGCCCCTGGACTCTTCCCTGCGGCCTGCAGCTCCTTCCGGGCCTCCTCTGTTGACTTCCCCTTTATCAGGGCCTCAGTCTGGGCCAAAAAGTTGGCCAGGAGGATCTTGTGATGCAAACCCTTCCTTATCGGGTGCTGGGTCTGGACTGGGATGAGGAAGTCACAAGGTATCATCTTGGTGCCTTGGTGGATGAGCTGGTAGAAGGCATGCTGGCCATTGGTCCCTGGCTCCCCCCACACAATGGGGCCCGTCTGGTGGTCCACACGAGCGCTGGACTTGGTGATGTACTTCCCGTTGGACTCCATGTCACCCTGCTGGAAGTAGGCCGCAAAGCGGTGTAGATACTGGTCATAGGGCAGCATGGCCTGCGTCTCACACCCGAAGCAGTTGATGTACCAGACACCCAGCAGAGCCAGCAGGACGGGGGCATTCTTCTCCAGGGGCGTCGTACGGAAGTGCTGTTCCATCCAGTGGGCCCCTGAGAGCAGCTGCTCGAAGTTGTCAAATCCCACATGCAGTGCAATGGAGAGTCCAATGGCTGACCACAGCGAGTAGCGTCCTCCTACCCAATCCCAGAACTCGAACATGTTTTGAGGGTCAATCCCAAACTCCTTCACTTTGGTCGTGTTGGTAGACAGGGCAACAAAGTGCTTCGCAACTGCAGAAGGTTCCTTGGCCGACAGGAGAAACCACTCCTTTGCCGTCTCCACATTCGTAATGGTCTCCTGGGTGGTAAAGGTCTTGGAGGCAATGATGAACAGGGACGACTCAGGGTTCAGAGTGGCCAGGGTTTTGGAGATGTGGGTCCCGTCGATGTTGGAAACAAACCAGACCTGGGGACCTCCTCCCAGGAGTACGGCTTAAGGGCTTCAGTCACCATGAGGGGTCCCAGGTCAGAGCCGCCAATGCCGATGTTAATGACGTCCGTGATGGGCTTGCCTGAGTACCCCTTCCAGTCACCACTCCGGACTCGCTGGCAGAAAGACTTCATCTTCTCCAGGACCCTGTTGACCTCTGGCATCACATCCTTGCCATCTACCAGAATGGGTGTGTTTGCCCGGTTCTGCAAGGCCACGTGCAGCACCGCCCGATCCTCTGTGAAGTTGATCTTCTCGCCGCTGAACATGTGCTCCCGGGCAGCCTCCACACCCCTGGACTTGGCCAGGTCCACCAGCATCTGCATCACAGTTTCGGTTACAAGGTTCTTTGAGTAATCCACCAGAATATGCCCATGGTTGGTGTTCAGGTTCAAGCTGAAGTGGCTGAAGCGTTCCTTGTCCCCCACGAAAAGGCGACGCAAGTTGAGGTCAGAGCCGTGCTCGCGGTACCATTTCTGCAGCTTCTGGAACTGCGGACTCTGGGTGAGCGCGGCCATGGCGACAGCAGCGGGGTACACGGGCTCGGACGAGCTTGGAGGAGGAAGAGACTTTTTTGTGTCTTTTATATTTTCCAGTTGTTACCATTTAGCTGTATTTTCTGACCAGTTTTCTAACTTACATCTCTTTGTATTTTGTAAATAATATACAAGAGCATTTTGTCATGTCATCAACTATATAAAAGAATGACTATAACTGATCAATCAAATCAAGGTATACTCTTGATGAAATTCACGAAGAGGAAAAGTGTTAATGAAACATGCATTACTCTAGGAAACATGAGCAATAATACCCTGTTCTTTCTTTCAACCTAATCTGTGTGCCTGTGCATTAACTGTCCAAACAGAAAATTTGTACCACCAGTCACTTTCATCCCCATTTAGCTCGGAGACTTTTTTCATGTGAAAATATTTTAAATTCAGTTTTTTAGCCAACTGTATCTTAAGAGAAAGCACATCTACAATAGCCCGGTAGTCCAGAACTAACTGATTATTGACCCTAGTGTGATTGATATCAGTGTCATAGTCTTCAACCATGTTTCTTCTTTATCATAGTAGACAGGTGAGAGATTTAAACAAATTACCATCCTGTATGTTCAGAAGGACTTACCTGCCAATATTTTTCTGTTCCTGTGTGTCTGTGTACCATACACACACACATACAGACACATATACAATCTTTTTGATGTAAGGAAATGAAAAAAAACTCACTACAGAAACTGGGGATTCCCCCTTATGTTGCCTGCTATTCAAAAATAGTGTTTGAGAGTCTTAATGAAATGAAAGGATTTCAAATAGCTCAGCTTCTCTCAGCATTTGTTTTTATTTTTGACATGTTGATATGAATTTATAGGTTCCTTAATTTTCTGAGTGCTCATACCTTTAAAAGAGTTTTAAAGTATATAAGGTTAAGAGTTCAGCTGAAAGAACTATAAATCTGAATGGTAATCTTTGGAGCCTAATACTTACAAATCTAGATTTACAGGTCATTTTCTAATTTCTTCTATTTCTGCCTTTCATTGACGTGGTTACAGTCACATATTTTTGATTTCCTTATATTCCAGTGTATCATTTTGCCAGAGGAAACTATGGTGTGTCACTTTGTCTCTTTTAAGAGTTCCCCCCCACTTCCCTCTCTTAAAAAAAAAAGGGAAGGAAGAAGAGGAGAAAAGAAAGAAAGTAAAGGGGGGACGGGGCACCTGGGTGGCTCAGTCAGTTAAGCGTTCGACTCCTGATTTCGGCTCAGGTTATGATCTCAAGGTGTGAGATCAAGCCCTGCATCAGGCTCTGGGCTGGGCATGGAGCCTGCTTAAGATTCTCTCTCTCCCTCTCCGCCTCCCCCCACCCCTTCCTTTCTCTCTCCCCTTCTCTAAAAAAGAAAAAAAAAATAGTCACTTCCTGTTTTTAGCTGAGATATTTAGATGAGTATGCTTATCTAAAATTACCAAGTACTTCAGAGTTCTGCTTAAGTTTTCCCATCAAGATTGATATAGTTCTACAGTATAAGGTATAAGAAACTTGGAGCAAATATCAAAGTAACCAGTACTTAGAGGAGCCCAGTGGATAACAGATTAAGGTGAGGTTTTGTCATCATGACTTTCATTTACTAACAGATGTAACATGAGAGATTTATTTCAGAGACATTACTGTGTGTGAGACACTAAAATAAAGTGTTGAAAATATCAACTGTTTGAAACCTTAGTCTGTGACATAATCCCTATATCATTCTGGAAAGGATTTTAGGTGGCTGCTTCTGAAAGTAGTAAGTACAGCTGAAGATGTACATTTCTGTATTTCTAGAGTTGTTTCAAAAACATTTCATGTCACTCTTTCATCTTCTATATATAGTTTATATATATATTAAATATATAAATTAGCATTCAGCAGAAGAGGACACATTATTTTAGTTGTACACATTCTTTTATGCAGAACACAGATGACCTTTGATTTCATTGCATTAATAAAAATAGTTTATAATGAAACTGCAGTTTTGGTAAGAGTGATAGAAAATATAGAAGTTACAATGATAGAAAGGCTTTTCAGAAAATATAAGAAAAAATATGTTTTTTAACAGCTTTATTGAGATATAATTAACCTATAGTAAACTGCACATTATTTAAAGTACATGATTTGGTCAGTTTTTATGTTATCCTGAAGATATTATAATCAAGATCATTATCATATCTATCACCCTCTGAAGTTTTCTCCATCTCTTTGTCATCCCTCCTCTCCCTATTCCCAAACAACCACTCTGATCTCTTTATTTGTCACTATAGGTTAGTTTGCATATTCTCAGGTTTAATATAAATGGACTTATGCAGTATGTGGGAGGGTTTTGGCCTGGTTTCTTTCTTAGAGATTCATCGTGCTACTGTTTGTATTAGTATTTGATTTCTTTTCATTGCTAAGTAGTATTCCCTTGTATTGATACAACACAGTTTGCTTATCCATTCATCTCTTCATGGACATTTGGGTTGTTTTATAGTTTTTGGCTGTTACAAATAATGCTGCTATGAGCATTCATGTGCAGTGTTTTTATGGACATACGTTTTATTTGAGGTCAATACTCAGTAGTGGAATGGCTGAATCATATGGTAGGTGTATATTTAACTTTTTTAAAAAACCACCAAGGGGGGCACCTGGGTGGCTCAGTTATTTAAGTGGCTGCCTTTGGCTCAAGTCATGATCCCAGAGTCCCAGGATCAAGTTCTGCATCAGGCTCCCAGCTCAGCAGGGAGTCTGCTTCTCCCTCTGACCCTCTCCCCTCTCATGCTCTCTCTCACTCTCTCTCAAATAAATAAATAAAATATTAAAAAAAAAAAACCACCAAGGTTCATTTTGCCAGCTATATAGGGTAGTCCTGGTTCCTCCAAATCCCCACCAATACTTGGCATGGTCAGTCTTTTTAAATTTTAGTCTTGGGATGCCTAGGTGGCTCAGTGGTTAAGTGGCCAACTCTTGGTTTCCACTCAGATGATGGTCTCAGGGTCCTGGGATTGAGCCCTGTGTGGGACTCCATGCTCAGAAGGCAGTCTTCTCAGGGATTCTCCCTCTCCCTCTGCCCCTCCCCTGCTCACATGCCTGTGCGCTCTCTCTCTCTCTCTCTCTCTCTCTCTCTCTCTCTCTCTCAAATAAATAAATCTTTAAAAACATAGATCAAATTTTAGTCTTATAATAGGTATGTAGTGGTGTCTTGTATGGTTTTTATTTGTATTTCCCTAGTAACTAATGGTATTGAGCATCTTTTCATGTGCTTATTTGCTGTCCATATCTCTGTATTGAAGTGTGTTCAAATCTTTTGTCCAGTTTTTTAGTTGGGTTATATATTTTCTTATCGTTAAGTTTTGAGATGACAATGTATATTCTGTATTGAAGTATAGAATGTGTCAATATTCTATATTAATATATGTTATATGTAACGATAAAGGATACAAATCCTTTATTAGATATATGCTGTGCAAAGATTTTCTTATAGTCTGTGGCTTGTCTCTTCTCTTTTTGTACGTTTTTTAAGTGGAAATTATATGTATTTAAGATATATAACATGATTTGATATTCATAGTGAAATGATTCCTGCAGTCAAGCTATTTAACATATCATCTCACATAGTTACCATTTTTGTTTGTAATGAGAGTACCTGAAATCTGTCTCAGCAGATTTCTAGTATTCAGCACAGTATTATTAATTATAGTGATAGTGCCATACATTAGACCTGTAGACTTATTCATTCTACATAACCTTCATTCTTTTAACAATACTTCTAAGAGCAGAAATTTTGAATTTTGATGAAGTTCACTTTATCAATTTGTTCTTTTGTGAATTATACCCTTGCTGTCATATCTACATGAGTTTTTAAAGTTGAAAGTATCATTATTTCACTTATAAGTATTCTATTGGAATGATTTCTTATTAGGTAAGAGTATAAGATACTATGCTGTCTTGCTTCCATCTTGTTGAGTTGTAAGATTTTTCATTAATTCAAAGGCGAACTCTGAGTTAAAATTATAAAATGTAAACATAAGAGCCATTTAATGTGTGCATTGGTCTCAGACTTAATTGTGGATATTTATTTAAAAGTTTTACATGACCTTATTCGGTTCTACAGTTTATTGTTAGATATTTTTTAAATTTTAGGTCTCTCAGAATGTACGGTAGTTCTTGCTTTAATTTGGTCCCGCTTTAGGCCGGCACGGTGTTATTGTTAAAGTATTATTCCTCCTACCACTTTGTTCACTAGGTGCAGTACAGCAAATAGATTTTAGGAAACAGAACCCAGAAAAAAGATATGAAAGTACATCTGCTGCCGCAAGCTTCTTTGCTTATGAAGTATGGAATGGAAATTTTTATATGTTGGCCAACAAGAGGGAAATTATAATCCAAAAGTCTGCTCTGACTTGCTGGCTTTCAAACATTTTCTAGTTTTAAGTTTTGATGAAGAGTTATTTCTTCATTAGAAAGACTTTCATTGAGTAACTTTTTTCCCCCCAGTATTTCCACATGTTACACCAAGAGGAATTAATGGCATAGACTTTAAAGGGGAGGCGATAACTTTTAAAGCAACTACTGCGGGAATCCTTGCTACACTTTCTCATTGTATCGAGCTAATGGTAAAACGTGAGGACAGCTGGCAAAAGAGACTGGATAAGGTAAGTCTCATTTTTCTTCCTTTTAAAGAATGATCTGATTTTATTTCAGCTTTATATATTGATTGAACATTTAAACTAACTTCTTAGGGAAAAATCTATTGGGATTGATAGAAGTAGCAGGGGGTACTACTCCTCTGAAAGTTTGTAGGCATCTTAAACTCATTTTCCTAGTGAGATTTACCAGTTATGTATTCAGTTACTATACAACACAAATTTATGGTAGGATTTTAATACAGAAATTTTTGTAGTAGTAATAGTAATGCCTTGGAATAGAAATGATGAACCACTTCACATTACCTAGCTTTATTATGAAATATGTGAAGCTACATTTAAGTTATATGAACTGAAACACCAATTTATCAAGTTAAACATTAACTTACTGCATTTGTAGCCATATATACTTTCCAGGGTCATTGTGCT